AATTAGAGAATGAGAGAGAAACCCTGATAAGCTGACAGAGTTGTCAGAAACTGTAGGAGATAGGTCTGCCCAAAATGCTAGACATGCATGCGTGCAAGTATAGGAAAAGGGGATGGATAACAGTGAGCTTGGGATGCCTCTTGTTGGTTACAAGACAAGGAATTCTGGGAGGAATGGATGGACCAATGAAATGTATTTTGACAACAAAGATGTACTGTCCTAATCATGAATATGGCTAGCACCTATGCTTACAATAAGGCCAAATATCTGTGTGGGGGCTATTTCCAACATTTTAATTTTTTCTTGTCTTGAGGTAAACATTGTAATGTTATGGGTTCCATTAGTAAGATCAGTGTTCAGATAGTTTAGCTTAGAGTATAATGCTGTCAGATGCAGGATTCAAATCTTTAACAAACTGTGATATTACACAATACAGGCTCTCTCAGTGCTGTGGCGTCTTAATGGTTTATTATAGGTATTATTTGAGTAATGTGATATAAACAGCTTGACAGCTGTAAGAACTGAAAGCTTACAGACAAGCAAAAGAGCAATAGTCATTTTTAGAAGAAAATATAGAAGGATGAAATCAGAGTTTTTAAAAACCTTTACGGGGGAACACTCCCTTCATATAGAGTCAATTTCAAATGACTGTTAGAAATAAACACTTAATGCATTTACAAAGATGGATTACCAAATAAAAAAATCAAACCCTAAAATGTGATTTACTGGTGGTGTTTTTCCAAAATTAAAATAAGTATTTTTAATTAGCCTGTTTCTCTCTCTGCTCATAAAGGTTAACTTTACTTTGAAGCCGTATGATCTAAATTGCATAAAATGATTTGATAACTTTGGATGAATATTCTGTCCCCTAAATTATTCTTGGCAGATTGTTAAATTCAGTTATAAATAGATCTCCCAGAAAATACCAAGCACTGTCCATCATAGGAAACAATACACAGCCAACACATCAAGAAAGTCATTGCCTTTGTAAAAAGTTTTCAGATAATTTTCAAGTATCATATAGTCACACGCTGTGCCTCAAAGTATCACCCTGTAATGCCCATATCCATCATTTATATATGAGTATGATATTTCATATGAAATATGCCATGTAAGATATCATATGAAAGGTCATGATCTGCTGAAATGAATATACACTGGTCAGGCTTCCGACCAGGGCAAGATGGTACAGTTCTGGGGTGCAAGGTTGGGAGCTTGGGAGATTTAGCTGGAGATTGGTCCTGCTTTGAGCGGGGGGTTGGACTAGATGACCTCCTGAGGTCCCTTCCAACCCTGATATTCTATGATTTGCTGGTGCCTGTTACTGCATGATTCATGAGTGGTTCAGGGAGCATTCATGCAATTTAGCAGGGCATAGGGCTCCACATGCTGTTGTACTGAGTGATAACAGCACGTGGAGGGGTTTGCTGCTTGTCACTAGCAAAGCACGGTGAGAGACTGTGGAGAGGCAGACTGGAGAGTTAAGAGGGCACAGCAGAACCCCAGCTCCAGGTTGCACCCCAGGGATCCCGTCTCACACAGAGGATGGCATTACATATGCCCCTCCTTTTACTGGCATTGTTAACTTTCCCAAACAGCTATGGAAACTGCATTATTACTCAGTGGCCTGGGGAAGGTGGCTTCTACTCTTGGGGGGTTAGACTAGATGACTCTTGAGGTCCCTTCTAGCCCCATGATTCTATGATTACCAGTGCACTGGATAGAATATGTGACCCTTTGTTATTAATATACAGATTTTGAGAATTCAGTAAGCTTTTATTTAAATTATAAACAAGAAAATGTTAAAACACTAAAATCTTACAACTTTGAGGAGCAATAAAATAGACTTAGACTGGAAAGCAAGTCATTTTCATTGGCAGCCTGATAAGCCATTCAGGAGTGCGGCAAGCTTAAAACCACAGGAATTTTAGGCTGCTGAGTAACAACTGATTTTAGATTGAAATTATTGCAGATGTTTTCAACAGTGTAATCTTCTTCTCGGAGTGACCCAGTTTTAGGTGAAAGTTGCGTATGAATTAGTCTCAGAAAATATTCAGCCACGGCATAAAGGTTATTTCAATCAAAATAATGAATACCCTGCTTGGGGCATACAGGTGACTAAGAGCATAATCAGGCTAGTCCTTTAAACCAAAAATAAGATTTATGTAGGAAAGTCAGACATATAACCATAATCGTTATATGTTAAGAGAAGATACTGATTATTTAAATTTTTAGCTACACTAATGGTGTATTTTATTTCCAAATAATGCTGATATTGTCTTACTTTATGATTATCATACTGTTGTTTTCTTTCAGAAGCCAATTTGGGTTGCGTTTTGAATTCACTTCAGAACTCTAAGCTATACTGTGTTATTACCTACAATATTTTCTATGGTACAAAAATCCCCAACTCATTCAACCTGCGTTTGTTATCACCTATATCTCCTTCTAAAATGCTTCTCAGAGGTTACCTGACATATTATCATGCTACTGCAATTTGATTCCTCTAGTAACATCAGAAAAATTAATAATAAAACTCTGTTAACAAGTAGATTGGTATAATGTGATACACTGCATTTAGCAAGGTTATGTCATAATTAAGATTTATTAACATTCCCATATTGGCAGTCCGTGAACTATGACTAGGTTCATGGCAGCTTGAGGCAAAATTAAATATGGGCAGACATGGCTGAAGTTGAAGTTGTATTCTACTACAGACATGCACATAGACACATTTTCATAAAAAAGCAGTTCTCTAAGACTGTGTAAACAAAAGAGCTGTAAAGATATTTGTTGAATGTACCCCATTCTGTGATGCAGGTCATTAAGAAATGTCAGAAGCACTCTGATAGGCACCTTTGGAGCACCCCGGGTTTTCAGCAAGTTACTATTAATGGAGCTCTTCACATATTATGGTTCTAAATATGTATTTTCAATCTTCAAAAACAGGTTCAGATGTTTCATATAGTCTCTCTTTTTTTTCAGTATATGTACATTGGTGACTCCTTATTTCTCTGAATAGAAAGCCAAGTAGTAATTCCTGGTGTAGTCTATATTTAATATGTTCTAACACAGGGTGTGGTGGACAGCGTTCTTACCTGACGTATCAAATATTTTATTATAAGATTAGTAAAGTTTTGAAAGTGCTTTGAACATGACATATTTATGGTTTCTGGAAATCTTGCACCACACAAAATAAATCACAATAATCCTAAATAATTTCAGGGTCATAAACCATAAGATTAGACAATATTTCAGTATATAGTACTTTAAAGCTTCAAAAATCCTTACAATACTCCATAATTTGAAAATGGTGATCATAAAGAGAGTCAAGCATATTTCAAGTCTACAGTACTATGAAAACTAATAACTTCTTATTCATACACAATGCTACTACAATGTACAATACAACTATAAGAACATAGAAACAATGTATTTGGTTTAAGATTAATTGAAATATATAATTAAGATACACTCAGGGAAATAAATCAGGAGAAATGACCTGGGCAAGAAAGTAATTAAAATATTTTTGAACTGAGCTCCAGCCAAAGCATTTAGCCAAACAGCTATAGAATGGGAGAAGGAAATCCTTTGAACTGGCCCACACCTTCCAGAACTTCAAAGGATATTCTTAAACTTTAAGAAAGGCATTTGAATTGATCAAGAATGCAGAAGGAAATTAAAATACAATATGGGACAGGATATCAAATTAAATTAAGGTTTACATAAAATCTGATTTTGTTCTTGTTTCTTTAAAAAAAACCCACAATTTTTATTTAACCTGCAGCTCCCTGTTTTGAGTTTAGTATCTTAAAGCCCTGATCCTGTAAATACTTATGAATTTACTTAATCTTATTACTGTGAGTAGTCCCACTTATTTCATTTACTCACAGTAGTAAAGTTTTAAGCATGTGTGTGTTTATAGGATTGGGGTATATGAGACAAAATTAATAGAGAATCAACAATAAAATATATACCGGGAAGGAGGGGAGTATAGAAATGACTGATTATGGAGACAAGATTATTTAGTTTTAGCTTGTGTGTGTCTTGATGGATCAAAAAAGGTTTGTTTTTAATTTTACCACTGAACATAGTTCTTGAAAATTGGGGTGATGCTATTAAAGCAAATTGCTGTGCCAAAGAAATAACAATGTATAATTATGCAGTGTAGTGTTTTACATGTTCAAAGTGCTATCTAAATGTTGATTAAACACAGGCACATGGAAATGCAACTTCCAGTCTATTTAAGTTTATTCAATTCAAAAGTTTTTTTATTCACCAATAAAGTTTTTGCTCAGAAGTAAGGTTGAAGCCTCATGCTGGACTGTTATATTTTCAAGAGACAGAAGTTGTTTGTACTGAGCTAAGTCACATCAGTATCCATTGAATAAGAGGGCAGAGCTGCTGACCAGTGGCAAAAGGAACCTGGAGTAGCCTGCACTTCTATGTAAATAGTCTCTTATAAGTTTTGAATTTCAAGTGCAGACTGCTTTAAACAGTGCTTCTTTATTGGCTTTTAAACTATTTTTTGTATTTCTGCTCTAGTGACTGCTTCTGTAGCAAGAAATGTACTCCTGAAGGAGGGAAGGATAGAGCTAACATCATATAATGGGATAACCATAGTAATACCATACAGAGCAAAGCTAAACGTGTAATTCATTAAGGATATATTTGACTAACTGCACCACTTCCTGTTTGTGGTATGTCAACCAGTGATTTAAATTTTTCAATTAATTAATTATTTTAAATTATTCTAAACTTGACTGAGTTCTCCATGCTTTACTTGAACCCTGATAATGGACCTTACCCAAGCACCACTGAAGACAATGGAGACTTTCTTGATTCAGTGGGCTGTGGTCCAGGCCCCCAACACTCTATCATAGGTTCACAAAAGCCTAATTTCCCAAACCTATAAAAGATTTGACATAAACATACATACATTCAACAGAATGCTTAAAAATAGGACACCAGAAAAGAAAAAAAAATTGCCATTTATATACCTGGTAAATCTGAAAAGAGCAAAATGCATTCATTGAATCCATTAGCCAGAAGCCGGTCCCGCAGTTGCTGCAGAATAGCCACTCCAATACAGAATGGGAAGGAAGAATTGCCAAGCAGTAACGTATCCCACAGATGAAAAATCTTGTGCAGTGGAAAGACATCTGCAAGATGGCACAGGCAACAAAATATTAATTATAACAAAAAATGTTAAGCTTTAAAAATATACATGACTAACCTTCTATAAGTTTTATTGTTGCCTCAAGGTTACTGCTTTTTAATTTGGGAACAAACAAGACTAAACTTGTTTAGCTACAGATTTGTTTTCATATGTGGATTTATTACTCCCTATGGCAATCAACACTTCATTTCAATATTAAATATCTACTTCTGTGGATTATTTTCTTTTCTGGTCCTAAGAGCACACTTTAGCGATATTTCTCTCTCTTTTGGAACAATCTGTAATTATGCATGAGTATACTACTGGAGGTGGGGAGAAAAGAAAGAGTGAAAAACAAATGTATGCAATACTTCTTAGCTGATTGAGCTTTCAGAAGGGATTTTTCTCCTTTGAAGACATTCTGAACCTTTTCTTTCAGGAAAAAAGGACTAATGGCAATCTGTGCATAAAATACTCTGGATACCTTTATCCTATCCAACATGCTTAAATAATTTTATTAACAACTATTTGTGATTAGAGGAAAAATGGGTAGAATTGCTATGCTCATAAAAGGTTTAACTGAATGGACCAATAGTAGTCAATAGACAACACTGCTTTATTTCACAGGCAATCTTTAACTCTTTGATATTTCATCAGTATATAAAACTCACATTCTTTTCCTAATAGGAAAACTGATCAATTATTTTTTTAAACAACTCAATACCATCTGATATGAAATTGGAAAACATATCTCAGAGGGGAGGAGGAAGTATATTGGATTATTCCTACTTTACAATTGAAATAATCCATTATCTCCATACAGAATCATCTCCATCATTTAACCTTACCCAGGTACAATACTCCTTTTGTCCAATGAACAACATAAAATCATGGTAGAGTAGTAACAGATCTGTGTAATAGTAAAGTATTGGTTTATACAATTAAGGTGTATTTGCATATGCTGGCCTTTAACACAACAAACTCGCTATCATTTTCTCACTTCAAAAAATTGGCTCTATTTTTTTTAAAAATGTGACAAATTATATATGAAGATTTTCTCTCTCGCTAAGGGCTTCCTCTTTCAGTACTGATCCCTGGTTTCAGGAATAAGAAAAAGTACCAGTTGTCATGGAATCTATTTAGAGCGGGGTGGGCAAACTACGGCCCATTTTAATCCGGCCCTTGAGCTCCCGCTGGGGAGTGGGGTCTGGGGCTTACCCCGCTCTGTGCGGCTCCCGGAAGCAGCAGCATGTCCCCCCTCCGGCTCCTATGCATAGGGGCAGCCAGGGAGCTCCGCACGCTGCCCCCGCCCCAAGCACTGCCTCCACAGCTCCCATTGGCCACGCAGGCAGCACGCAGAGCTGCCTGGCCATACCTCTGCATAGGAGCCAGAAGGGAGACATGCTGCTGCTTCTGGGAGCTGCTTGAGGTAAGCGCTGCCCGGAGCCTGGACCCCTGACCCCCTCCCGCACCCCAACCTCCTGCCCCAGCCCTGATGCCCCTTCCACCTTCCGAACCCCTCGGTCCCAGCCTGAAGCAGCCTCCTGCACGCCCAACCCCTCATCCCCAGCCCCACCCCAGAGCCCGTACCCCCAGCTGGAACTCACACCACACCCCTGGACCCTAACCCTCAATTTTGTGAGCATTAATGGCCTGCCATACGATTTCCATACCCAGATGTGGCCCTCGGGCCAAAAAGTTTGCCCACCTCTGATATAGAGTATGACACAACAGAGATCTATAAAATCAGGAACAGTATGGAGAAAGTGAATAGGGAAGTGTTACCTCTTCACATAACACAAAACTAGGGATCACCTGATTAAATTAGTAGGCAGCAGCTTTAAAACAAACATAAGACAGTATTTCTTTGACATAATGCAGTGGAATTCATTGCCATGGATAATGGGATGTATAACTTGGTTCAAAAAATAATTAAATAAGTTAATGGAGGATAGGTCCGTCAAATTACAACTACGGGAAGTCTGAACACGTAACTGAGATCTCTGAAATGGGAGTTGTTTTTTTCCTCTAAAGCTGGAAGAGGCCGGTTTTCTCATAGATGCATGGAACTGAAAAGACTTGTTTTCAGTGTACAAAACTAAAGTCCCTATGGACTCCAGTCAACCTGGGGTAAATTTGAACTAGCCATCTAGAAGTGAAGGCTCTATATTCTTCCCTTTTAAACTGAAATGTATATTCTATGGAAAAATGGGAGAAGTTAAATATACAGTGTTTATATTTAACCAAAGGAAAAAAATATATACTCACGTGTAAACATAGTGAGAAACCAAGGAATAGCATACAGCTACAAGAGGAAGAGAAGGGATAAAAAACACATTTTGTTATGAGCTGAAGGCCATGTCAAGGTTGATTTTCTATTACATTTAAAGCTGTATAGCATTTCAAGTTTCAGTGATAAGACCATTTTCACATAAATGTAACTTCCAGATACTTCATGTTTGGGGCTGAATTTTCCTTTGCTTAAAGAGGTTTTTGTTTGTTTACAAAAGGCTGGGCAGAATCATTTCATCCACTTTTAAGTTTCATGAAAATTAAAAAACCAAACCCTTGTTTTATTAAACGGTCACAATTCCCATCCCACTTACACATACAGATAACTCAAAAATGACTGATCTTGGACATCTGAAAATTGGCATTCAATGAATCTTCATTGAAGAGTACATAGCCAAGTATGAAAAACAAAATAGTTTAGATAATGAAGTTATGAACAACAGGAAATTGTTCCATGCAGCAGAACATTCAGCAAGATGTGGGTATTCACACTTATTGAGAAGAGCACTGGGCATATCTGCCTTTTTTTTTTCCTGTACGGACATCTATTAAATGTATCCTAATGTACCAAGTGTGCATTTTTCAATGAATGGCAATAGGTACAATTCAGCCTTAAGGACTTAAAGCACTTATCAGTGTATTGTATGCTATTAGCAGTTTAGGTACTTATGCCTAAAGTTTATGTCATGTGAAGGATTTGAGGTGGCACAGGCACTTATTCTGCTATGAGGCAGCTTAAGCATTTATGCTGCCCTTAAGGGCTTTCTGGGCTGTAAAAACTTTATGCTACTGTAAGGCTTTCAAACAGTTTACATTATGCATGTATGGCACCGTTAAAAAGGTATGGCCCCTTCAGTAACTGGGATAGTTTAGGTGCTTATGCCACTTCAAGCATTTCTTAATTTTAAAGAAAATACTTACAAAATTAAAGGCAAAAATCTATGTGGATACTAAGTTGAAGTTGCACAGAAAGTCACTGCAAGTCAGGAATGCAAAAGTTAAAATTCCAATATCAAATTTAACTCAACTGAACTGTACATATGCAGTATTTTCCATTTCTGGAGAGGTTCTTTTTAGTTAAATGTATAGCTTAGTATTTATGTCATGAAATGCACAAGTTAGTGTTGCTAATGAACCTTCATTTTGCATTTCCTTATGTCTAGTGACTAAATGAACAAGCTCAATATTGCAGTAGTGTGGTTTTTTTGTATTTAATACACTCTTAACTGGGTCAGGCAGTGGTGGTGTTGAACTGATGAATGTATGTACGTTGCAGTACTCCTTGGATAGAGCTCTCCAAAATTTATTGTAATAGCTACTCTAGGTGTACCTTTCTTCTAACCAACTATTCATAACAGTGGCAGAAAAGCTGAGATGACTTAACTTGCCAGTATTTTCAGCATTAGCACAGGTCTTTATGAATGGACCTTGCTATACAGAAAGGATCTGTTTCTGATGGTAAAAATTCTTCTACCATTGTTGATGTGATACACCAGCACAATCTACTTCCACACATGTATTTTTGTAAAGCATTCCATCAACAACTTCATATTCCCCACTACCATCTGAAAAGCCTGCAACAGTGATTGTGCCCTGCCATCACGTTTGTAATCATCTGTTCACATGCAAGAATGTGCAGTATATCCACTAGAAAAGAAGCCTTCAGCTATGCTGAAGGCTCTCTCTTTAGGTATATCTACATGGAGATTAAAGCTCCGTGGCATGGACGCGGCTGACCTGGGTTGCGGGGCTTGGGCTGTGGACTAAAAACAGTTGTGTAGACATTCATGCTTGGGCTGCAGCCTGAACTCTGGGACTCTCCACCCTCACAGAGTCCCAGAGCTTGGGCTCCAGCCTGAGTCTGAATATCCACACAGCAATTATTCAGCCCCGCAGCCCAAGCCACATGAGTCCAAGTCAGCTAGCCCAGGCCAGCCGCAGATTTTTATCCCCATGTAGACATACTTTTTGCTTTTGAGATAGAAAATGATCACAGCAAAATACCTGAGTCCCCTCGTTCATAAATTATTTCATTGAGAACTAGAAGTAGATCAGTTCAGCCTCATGATTTGATTTAAAAAAAAATTTTGTATTAGCCAAGTAGACTTCTATACATTCAGAATTACACACACACAAATGTAAATACAAACACCTATAGCTTAAGCTGTGTACATATTTTTTCAACACACATAAGAAAAAGAAATATACAAAACTATTGTGCATAACAGAAAACACTAACATGCTGTAAATATGACAAATAGTCAAAAACTTTACCCCTAAAACACAGACCTGACTACAAACGTCATCCACCAATCCTGATCACTACCCAATATGTCAAAAAATTAGGCCAGACAATCTTAAAGTAACAGGTAGTTATTAGGGAAATTACAATAGGAGTTGAAGGGGAAATTATCCTTGTTATTTTCTAAAATATAATGCTACAACAAGAAGGGGTAGAGGTAAGTATAAAAATATTATGATCATTTATCTCCAATGTTTTTATTGCAAACAAGAGAGAACTACTGCATTGTTCAGTATCCCTCCTTCATGTCTTATTATTCCACTGTAGCAGGTCAAAAGTGGAAATGAAGATCCAAAAGGAGAACAACATGTATCTGGTTTAAAGTACTTGCCTCACAAACATGAATTTAAAACAAATATGCTGCCATATTTACATAGTCAAACCAATATACTCAAAATAAAGATATTCTTAGTAAATACTGCCCCCTAGCAACATCAGGGAAGAATAACTGCGTGCTAGGATTCTGGATAAAACTTTCACCGCAGTGATTTTCAACCTTTTTCCACTGGAGCTCAAACTGCAGTGGATTTGCTGGCTGGTGGGTCTCCCTGCATCTTCCCTTCAAATGAGTACTGCTCAATATTTTGAAGAAAATTTACACAGTACTCAATAAGAGCAATATTTGAACTTCATAGACACTAAGTCACATGAAAAAAAAGATCAGCTGAACTTCCACATCAAAAGAGAATTAGTAAAAACAATGAATCAAAATATATACTTTCATTACAACGTAAAAGTACATTTCTCTGAGAAACAGCCTGAGATCATGAGTTGCAGTCCCATAATTATCAATGTTTACTAGATAAGGTTGAGTTTAGTTGTACACATAAAAGCAGCGATACAACCACTTTTTAAAAAAATCTATGAAGAATACAGCCTATCCTCCCCAAAATTAATGCAATTATCATTTGAATGCACAATGAATTTTCTGAGAATTTACAAAAAGTAGATTTACACGTTAGGTATCCATTTTGAGAAGGAAATTCCCAGAAAAAAAACATTGTTAAGATAAAGTTAAGGTTGTATCTATCACAACTTAGGAGTAAAATATATTACAGGATCATCATCATCATCTACAAAACAACCCAAGTCTGAAGACAAGTTTGGTTCAGTATTTTCATTAATTGGCAAGGCAATTCTTAAAAGAGAAAACTTAATTACTGTAACTGCCAACATGTGATATACATTTCTTTAAGTAAATGCCAAATTTACAAACTGAATAAACATATGTACTACACATATTTAGTGTGATTTTCAAACACTCATAACTTTGATAAATTTAAACATTTTTCCTCACAAACCAAATACTTACAGGAACTTATGAATTGCCATACTAGATCAGACCCAAGGTCCATCGACTCTCCGTACCCTGTCTCTTACAAAGGCTATTCCAGATGCTTCAGAAAGCATAGGAATCCTAAAGGGGACAAATGTGAGATAGTCTGCCTCCCACATTAGGTCTCCTCCTAAATGGTATAGAGAGAGACTGGCTTAAATCCTGAAGCATCAGGTTTAATGTCCCTTCCAAAGTTTTTATAATTTTGACAACCCTGCATATTCCGGATAGCCATATAAATGTTGAGTCCATTTATGAATCTTGATAAGTTTTGGCCTCACTGACTTTTTGTGACAAAGTGGAAGCCAAGCACAGAGAATTAAAATTACTTGCCACCGGTTACCCAGCAATATTGTGGCAGAATGGCAGGACTAAAACTCAAATTTCATGCCTCCTATTTCAGTGCCCTATCCAGATACTGGTAATGAAGGCCCTGAAACTCTAAACACTTATGCACATACTTAATTTTAATTTCTGAGGCACTGTGTAAGTGCTTAAATGAACTATTCGTATGCTTAAAGTTAAGCACATGCATAAGTGTTTGAAGGACTGGGGACAGAGTACCCATAAACAGACAAGATAAATGTAAAGGATTAAACCTAATTCCATCCATCCCCATCTCTCATCCCAAATATGTAAATTAAAAAACAATTGCTTTCCTATTAAATGAAAATTAAAAACCAGCCATGATACACTCATGACTGAACAAGTGTGTGCTTGCAAGAGAGAATAGTATATTTCAGTAAGGACAGTTTAATTCAGGCTTCCAAGGGTAGTTATAAACAAACTGGAAAATAAAAAGAACGAAAAATACATTGGCAACAGTGTTCTTTTAACTCTAGTTAGATAAAGCCTTATTACAGACACCTCCTGCATATAACTGAATCCAATTTCAGGTGTCTGTCTATGACAGCAGCATTACCAAGATGATATTAAGTAACTGCAGCCAGACCTTGTCATCTCTGTTAATGGCCAGCTGACAACTGTGTCTAGCTTCCATTATTTGCAGCTGAAAGCTATTCAGAATAATTTATGGATACAGTTTTCCTTCTAGTAACGTGGCTCATTTCCTTGTTTCTCTTCCTTTAAAAATGGACGGATTTTGATGTTAGAATTATTAGCAAAATACAGAACAGATGTTATAAAACATTATATAAGTTCATACTACAAAACAGTTAAAAATAAAAAAACCCTGTGAAATTCACCTTACGGATATCTCCATTGACATGTAAATCACATAGCCACAGCAATATATTTAATCCAGGCACCACACCAGCTAACAATATTCACAACTATTCAAGCTTCAGCAGCATTCAATATTCTGAGAGCTACATGACCCAAAGTAAATGGAAGGGTGCCAGGAAACACAATTCTT